CCTGATGCACTGCCAGATGCTGTCAGAAAGCACCACTAACCTTTCAGCAGAGACGGTCCTCACAGTGAACGACAAATCTTGTATTTTACATTATAACAAGTAAAGTAAAAATCTTTCATACTTTCTGTAATCAAGCTGCATCACGAAAAAAATCCTTTTCCTATAAGCCCCTGGTTTTCTGAAACAATTGTTTTCCTGTACACTTTTAATGGGACATAGAGGTATTTTTACGTTACCAAGACATTAATCCACCCATTAACACAACTTACATAAGCACTTATCTAGCACAAGGTCTGATACATGTCTGGAGCCAATCCCAGGTAGAGAAGGGCAGGAGGCGGGGACACACCCATGACAGAATGTCTGTACCATGCAATGGATTGGCAATGAACAATTTAGACACACCAATTTGCCTAGGAGCACAAAGTACCTTCCACAGAGAGAGAGAGAATGTTAAACACGCGAGGCTGCAGTGACACCGAGTGAATCACCATGACGTCGCTCCCCAGACATTAAAACTCAACCAATTACACATACATTTCGGAATTATTGCCACTATTAAACACCAGTCAGCGATGCCTCCTACTTCATGGGATATCAGTGCTTCAAAAAAGCTCAAAAAATACTAAAGGAACTGCATGCAAAAGAGAAACAAAATATTTCTTTGATGTTTTCATCTGTTTGGAGTGACCCTCAGGGTTGGTTTTTTTCTGATACGCGCACTAAAACAATACTGGCCTAAACGTGCCAGAAACTGTACTTTTTAAAAAGCTAAAGCACAAAACGAATGCGGACATCTTGGTGTTTAACAAATATAGGCCAATACCGATATTTTAACCGATATCCTGTGGATCTTATCATTCAGTGGTACTGTCCATTACTAATCTCTACACCTGAAAGATGGCTTAATCTCACAAGCAGCTATGTAATTTTGTCTGAGACACTTATCCTAGGCTATGCACACTATTGATTATTTAGGATGCACTTGCACTATGTTTGTACTGCACCCAAGCACGTTTGACACCCAAAGTCCACTTTGCCTGATTACTGATGCCTGTACATGGGACGTCAGATCACACCCAAACCCGCTTAGAGAGAGCTGGGCCAGGACATGGTTCAGCTGAACTTGGGCACAGTACAGATCTAGTGTGATTGCTAACCATGACCACGGATGTCAGTGATACGACTGGCATAAGCATATGTACACTATACAAGAACTGGACTCGGAGGGGATGGATCAGGGATGGATCAGGGAGCCTGTACAGATCAGGCAGCAGCAAAAAACAAACGTGGCAAAAGGATGACTTTGGTCTACAACAGAGGCGCAATGTTTGCGAGAAATTAGGGCTTATGAGACTCTTATCCAGAAATGGCCGCAGCATATGCGGGTTTTCACAACAGCTCCCTAATTAGATTACTGATTAGAGGACTGATTGGCTGAAGAGTCCTCACACCTGGGTTTGAACAGCTGACCTACAGGTTATCCCAAAAACCTGCATACACACCGGCCCTTTGTGGATAAGATTGCCTACCCCAGATCTAGGAACAACCGGATGCAAAGGACAAACACAGATAGAAGATATCTGGTAAAATACAGGACTATCTGCAGCACGATAAAATTATTATTTTTTTTTAATTCAATGCACTGAATACTCAGTAAGACGGCCTATGTCAATGTGCCCAAAATGACTCCAAATAAGCCAGATAATAAGGACATTAATCATGCCGAGTGGTTTTCTTCTAAACAAAAAATATTGCACAGTAATGACCAAAATATGCTCGGGCCCAGAATGTTAAGCAGATAGTTAGAGCAGAGTAATGGGGGATTGGGGAAAGGGGACAGTCAGGCTCTGGCACAGCACAAGGCAACCAGGCCAAGTGTGCATACGCCCTTAGAGGAGGGACGGCTGGCCTATAGGCAGGGATAATAAAATCACAAAATTTGTTTCTACTCATTTTAATAATTTCAATTCGTTTGGGATTTTGTCGTTTTAATTTTTTCGTTTTCATGTTTCACTTGTGCTTTCGTTTCATTTTAATTTTTATTAACGAAATGCTCTTTTAATGTTTTTGTTTCTGCACTGGTAAAAGATAAGATAAGATAAGCTTGCAGAACCCCACAGGGGGAATATTTCAGATCGAGAGCTCAGAAATTTAAGAGGCGCCGAAATCTGTGTCGCAATACGGTGCAGTTCAAACCGACTGTATAGGAACCGGTTCCATATTGGAACCAGGCCTTGGTGCCAATCCCCTGTAGCGATCTTAAATGCAGATCAGACAACTGGAAGAACATGCGGGTTGTGTTTATGACACAAGCAGACAGTTACATTTTTTCTTTTTAAACAAGAAGGTGCCCACATCAGACATAGCCATGGGTTCAGATGGGGAAGACGCACACGACCAAAGCTCAGACACTCACCAAATCGACTAGCGTTGATTTGCTTCCTGTCTGTGGTTGCCAAGACAAACGCCTCCCCTTCAGCGATCGAGAACTCCTAAAAAGATAGTACAAGAACAAATATGAGAGACACTTGGTGCTGCTTCAATCCCCATGTTCGTCTGAGTAGCTGGGATAGTATTACAGGACCAACTTATGCAACCAATCACAGCAGAGGTCAGACAGAATCCTCAAATTTATAAGTATATTAATATTTTACAAGTAGACAGAAAAAACAGAAGTCTTAGGAACGTATGAGGTCAAGCCAGCAGAAGTTGGTTTGGAAGGTTAAAATCAAAAGCAGATTGACAGATAGATGAGACTTACATTGAGGTCAAAATATTAAGCTTTTAAAATGTAAATGGCATAAAGTTGTGCATTCAAAAACCTACTTTCATGTAGGGCTGCACGATTTGGGGGAAATATCAAATCGCGATTTTTCTGACAGAAATTGCGATTACGATTTGATTTGCGATTTAATTTTTTTATGTCAAGCTTCAGTTCAATATTCAGTGTGTAGTCATTTTAAAACATATGATGCAGCATGAGATACCAGCAGCATTAACTGATCTATATTCTAATGTGAGGATGAGAATTTAAAGATGTGACGTGTCAAGTTAAAGCAATAATGAAAACAATTGAAAAAAGAAAAATAGCGATCTTGCAGGTAACACTTATTACCCTCCTAATAACACTAGAACCGCCTTTTCTCACGCCAATGAACAAGCAAGAACTACTTCGGTGTATGCAGCCCTTTTGTTTGCGCTATTGTGTTGTTAGCTGCTGTTATTAACACTAATAACACTCAAAAAACCGTAATGTTCATAATAGAGTGGCTGTTCTGTCCTGAAACCGTAAAGCTAGAAATTTTTAAACGTAGTATGCATTTTATAAAATGTTGAATAAATAGAAGTCATTTATTGGTGATTTCATGTTGGTCGAAGTTTCCGCTTTTTGACAACTGTATACGGTTATTTTCTATACAAATCAATTCAGGTGAAACAAAAAATGTACGTGTTCATGGTTGCAAACTTTCAGACTCTCATGCAAGAAATCTTACGGCAAATCTATATTCCATTCTGAACTGAGAATTAGCTGCATCAAAAACATTACAGTAGTTTGCAAACCCTACAGACTATTTACAAGTATAATAAAACTTACATACATGTAAATGTGTGTGCAGAACAGAGAACAGAAAATCTCACCACATGCAGCTGACCAAAGTCGCCAACCCTGCATTTTATTTTAAATGAGAAGTAAAATGCAGTTTTCGACTGAAGCAGCTTATCATTCCTTTGCTTTGTTACTCGGACAAATACAAAACGAATGATTAAGCGTTATATGCGTTTCTTTCTGTATGTTTTCTAAATAAGACCGCGTGAACATACCCAACTGTAATAGTGATTAAAGCGATCTATTCTTTTAGTATTTATGTTAAAGCAGGACTTTTATTTTAGTACTGTTGTGGGATTAATCTTTGAAAAACACTTCAATTTAATAAGCACAAAAACATATGGCAAACACGACTATTGTGGGTTTTACGGCTTTTTTGGAGGTCACCGACTCCGCTGCTGTGAGAATTACTGACTGTCTCGTTGTTTTGATGGGTTAGCGGTATACTAATGCTATTGCCTATTAATAAAAACCAAAGGTATGATACGCTGAAGTATATTGCAGCTGGTGTTTAAAAGGAGCTCGCCGGTTCTATTGATGATAGGACCTTTCTGAAACAATCTCGGACCATGAAATAGGAAGGCAATTCACTTATATCTCAGTAGCGGAATCAGTAACATTTTCCTTGGGTTTCACGTGTTTGTTGTTTGTGGGCCTATACGCCATCTTGGGCCACTTCTGATTGGTGAGCATGACTGGCACGCGAGACGCACGGAGCTTGTGATTGGTAAGAATGACTGTCACACAGGGAGCATGGCATGAATTTGTAGAACTATTCTCACAGCAGTTTTAAACCCTGGGTCCGACGTGCTGTATAATGTATATCTTAAATCGCAATTTTTGCGACTTGCTAATCGCATTGTTTCAAATCGCGATTTCGATTTGAAATCGATAAATCGTGCAGCCCAACTTTCATGGCTTGTTGTGAAGCATATTTGTAACTTATATTGCAATATTTTCCAGGTTCACCTCACCCATGTCGTAAACAACACCCTGACTGTAGAGCAAGGTATTGAGAGACAAGCCCAGATACAAACACTTACAAAACAAACAAAACACACACACACACTAAATTCAGCATCAGGACCAGTGCCCCCCTTGCAGTAAAATTTCCATTAAAGATCCACAACAGCACCCATAATCCTGACCAAGGTAACTGGTCTGAGGAAATTGTGGGTCATGAATCACAGGTTCTCCAACATAAATTTAATTACCAAAACACATCACCAGACTCATCCACCCAAAAATATTTTTAAAAAAAAGCAGACGAGTGCCCAGTCAGTAAATTCACTTAGCAATACTTTCACTTGTTGGAGTTAAAAATTATGAACTTCAAAAGGCAACCCTGGCAACAGGCATACAATTAAAAACTACTCTGAACCACAGCACCACTAGAGAGCTTCAGGGACTGTAGAGATCACGCAAGACACCACACAACATTAGAGGAGAGAGGAGCAGAATTATACCATAGAAAAACATGTGCCTCGTCTTTAGATCTAATTAAGACACAGCTCACAAAACAACAGGCAGGCTACCAGCCAATTTCCCCCAGGGTCACACACCCAAACACCGGCTTGAAGAGGCTTGGCAGGTGCATCGTGCCAAACCACATATCAGAAATGCAAAACGCCTACAACTAAGGACCACAGAGCAGATATCAGCCCAGAATGGGACCCCAGCAGCCATCTCCCGAAATACGGCACCAAGAAAGTAACCCAGTCGTGCATCCCAGCCGAAAAACGCATCCCAGGTGAGAAACTACCGCTAACTACCAACCCCTTAGCTTGCATCAGTCTACAAAGAAACTCAAATATGCTCAATATTAACTTTAAAAAATATACATTTTTACCGCCGTTGTGCATTTCCCAAACTGCGCAAAAATCTACTGCAGCTTTATTTAATCTCACAGAAGACTAAAGATACAAAAGGAAAAGAAAAAGACTAAAGCTTTGCGGGTGTTTGCCGTGAAATGCAAACGAAGCTAGCAAATAGCTAATAAGCTTAAAAAGCGACGCATCTCATGCTTTAATTATCGAACCCGGACGTGGTCTGGAATGTCAGCCCGTTGTGGTGAATTTGTATTCGTATATTTTTATATATAAAAGCAATTATGAGAAAAGTCGGGTCGTCTGACCAGCAGACGCGGGTTGGAGCGGCGGAGAGACGCGTTGAAGGGGGGTTTGGGTGTGCGGCTGCAGGATGTCGGGTCCCCCTGCTCCCTGGTTCGCTTACCCGCGAAACGGCCCGCAAAAAGGTGTCCAGGTCCTCGCCAGCGATGCTCAGCTCTCGGTCGGGCCGCTCCGAGGCCTCCGTCCGGCAGTCAAAAACCGTCAGGCGGCGGCCCTCAACGGCACTCCGGTGCTGCGCCATGGTGCGAGACCTGCACGGGAAGCGGCGTTTCAAAGAAAGGAGCCGAAATATTAGGGGAAACACGCCGAGCAGCGCCGCCCAGATACTCGCCTGCGCCTGAGCCGACTCGTAATCCTCGGTTTACCCGCCGCGGCGCTCCTCAAACCTGCTACGCAGGGGCTGATACGGGCCGCCCGGCTAGGCCCGTCCTGGTTGCCAGGTTTCGATGAAATATCCCCCATTATTAAAGATTATTTACCGTCATTTTATAATCTTTTACTCTCGGCTGAATTCTGGCAGTTGTCTGTCGTTAACGATTTTTTTTTGTTACTTTTACTTAATTTTTACTTGAATGTAGAAATTGCAGCAATTACTCGCATTTGCTATGACACCTGAACAACAAATAAATCTTATTATTTGCAGTGAATTTTGGAGTTTTGTAATGTATTACCTTCTTAAACAAATTAAATCAACGAAATTTTAGATTGCATTTGCAGTCGTATACCTATGATATTCTTATGAATGAGTGTATCAAGTAATTTTGAATAGATTTGCTGATAGTTCGTAACACAAAACACATAAATTAATAAGTGACCGGAACAAAACCTGTGTGCAGTCATCCCCAGGGACCAGGTCTGATAATTACAGTGAAAAGTGAAGCGCGCCAGTGTGTATAATCATTTTAAAACGTTAATTAAAAACTTAGCCGGAATAAAAATCTGTGTAGCGGGTGAGTTCAGGTATTGTGGGACATCAGGTAATGTGGGACAGTTAAGCTATGACAAATTTATTTCCCGGCTAAAGCAGATCCAATTAGAATAGTTGTTATCGCGCTGGAGCTGGTATATAAAGCACATGATCCGAAAACACGATTTTATTGGTCTGAGGTCACAGTTGAGGACGAGGGAAGCATTTTGGGGGGACGTCCCTTAGAAATCACAGTCTAAGGTGAATGACATGTGCTTTTGATTGTATTGATATTAAGGCTGTAAATCTGTTATAAAAATGCATTGCACCTAAGTTTTATGTAATTATATCTATGATATACTACTGCAGAAAATTAAATACTTTAAATTGACAAAGTTCTATTTAATTTTTTAAACTGAGTTATTTTTCAGCTGGACTATGACTCTCGGCTGGCCTGGGAACGCCTCGGGATTCCCCCGGAAGAGCTGGAGGAAGTGGCCGGGGAGAGGGAAGTCTGGGTTTCCCTGCTGAGACTGCTGCCCCCGCGACCCGACCTAGGATAAGCGGAAGTTAATGGATGGATGGATGGATGGATATTTTTCAGCTGTCCCAGTTTACCAAACTAATTAGGGAAAGTGGGACAGTATGTTTCAGATAATGTGGGACAATTTTACAGGCTCTCCCAAGAAGAAAGTATGTGCATGTTTGACAGGATAGAGTCCCAACTCTTAAATATATTCAGTAACTGTACATAATATATAAACAATTATATTTATTCATTTATGAAATGGGACAAAATTGCCAACTTGAATTTGTTAAATTGTTTTAGTGTATGATGGCACCAAGGCAGAGGGAGGCAGAAAAGAAGGTTAGAGAGGTGAAGAGGCAGGAGGACTAAATGGTTACAAGCAACTGCAGTTTTTACTGTTAGTATAAGCTTTACATGTATTGGTTTAGGCATTTTCTACAAAACAAAATCCAAAATGAAATTAAATGGATTTTGACTTTTTTCATTGACTTTTTGATAAAAATTAATCAACAATTTACCTTACGGGTGCAGGGACTGTATAGACCTGTATCACAGCCCCCACAAGCAAGAAATTTCATTTTTTTCTTTTGATGTGATAAGCAGACATCTTAAGGATTGCAGAAAAGTTAATTAGGTTGATGTTTCAATGGGCACTAGAAGTCAAAATGGCAAAAAATTTCCCACTTTACCTGAATTCACTATACGTAATAGTCACCATGGTGGGTTTTACAAATATTACAAAATACACAATTCCTAAGTCTATAGACACATGGGAAAAGTGTGCTGACTGTCACACCACAAAACTCAACTGTCAACAGTTGGCCTAGTTATTGGGCTGCACAATCAATCATAAAAAAATCCGCAATCTTAATACACACCTCTATGCCATCTCATTTCTAAATTACAACGGTTCTTCTGCATTGTATTACATCAGCTGGATCAAAACAAGGGCTCCTACTTTTCCCCAGAGTCTCAAGAATCCCATAATTCTGCATTCTCTGTAAAGAAGGTACCAAATGTAGGGTAAAACCCGGTACCGGCACTGAGGCAGGGAATTTGTACTGAATTTGAAAATTGTGCAGCCCTATAATATACAGCCAATGTGCTGTATTAATATCAACGTCACATTGTGCATCCCATTCTAACAGCCAGTCAGCTAGATTAAGATCTACTGTCAATTCTGAAATATGGACATTATAGCGCAGGGAGTTTAGGTTTCACTAAAACATTTTTACTCTGTCATAGAAAAAAAAAATCAAGGTTTACAATTTTAATTATTATTCCTTTTCAAAATGATCTAGTATAGACCTATGTTTAAAAAACAGCTTTAAGTATACTTCCGCTGTTTTTTTGCATGAGCATTGCACGCAATCTCCGAGACAATCATAATTATTTTCATCCTTGCTGTTTAAATCACTCCTAGACGGGTTTCTGAGAAATGTTTTTTTTTGTTTGTTTTATAAATACCCTAATATTTATGACAACAAAATTATACTGCAGTACCTACAAATTTTCCAATACCGCCCAGTGAATTATACAAAATTTATTTTATGCTATCTTGATCTCTCCTTCTTCCGACTAAACTGCAGTTAAAGCTTGGGTCATATCATTTGTCCACGTATACATTAATATTATTATTTTATTTTATTTGTAACTTTTGGTATGACTTTGGTTACTCTAATTGAATGGTCTTTCGGTTGTCAGAAGTTGATATGCCGGTCCTGGATCACTCATATGTTTGACAGAGTCATGTTTTGTTGTGCTTCCTTTTGCAGTTTAATGAGTGAAATAAACGTTTTAAATTTAAGAAGAAAAAAAAACTCGTTAACGAGAATCGTAATCTCAATTCTAAGCAAAAGAATCGCGATTCACTTTTTTCCAGAATCCTGCAGCCCTACCTAGTTAGAATCACTTATTCATATTATTCATATTACTACTACAATAGCGAAAATAAGATATTACATTAGTGCCTATAATGGTGATGATGCACATACGCTTCATTAGCTGACGGCCGTCTCATCCGGCAAATGAACAGAGGATTTCGAGGCGACATATCAGGCAACCACCGTAGCCTACAGTATGTGCGCATGCGGAAATTTCGAGAAAGAAAGTGTCCTGTTTATTTGGGCTCGTGGAACGAGCGACAATGGGAGTAATGTTCGTAACTACAGTTTCTGCATAATATGAATATACTTCAGATGATTTTTTTTATGTAGAGCAATAGGCTAATTACCTGGATATGTCTATTGTGTTTAAAAATGCCAAAGGCTGGCTGGTAGATCAGTGCTCCTTTATCGATGACAGATTTGAGTCCGGAGATGAAAACGCGAGTAAACGCCGATCCTTTAGCTGGTGCTTCAATCGGCGGTACTTTGACACACTGAAGCCTTACATTAAGTCGATCAGCGCTGACGGACTGCGGGCTGAGGGGGAAGATGATCCGCTGCCCAGTACTGGGTGTCAGGTAAAGGCTTCATAAACTCGAAAAGACACATCTTGAATGGCTGTTTGATTTTCGCACTACTTTAAAAGAAACATTCAGTTACTCCCCAAAACAAACTGTAACAATGTAGGATCGACGTCTTCTGCCTGCCCCGGTGTCACTTACCAGGGCATCTTGCTCTTATACCCTTAAAGATACTTTACCTAAAATGCTTCCACAGTACATCTAGCTGTGTAAATGCTTGCTACCTTGATATCTACACGCTAAGTCATAGCGACGATAAACTCTAAAAGCACGCTACTTCATGCCCGCTTAAAGGAACCGCCAAATAAACCACCGTTTGTATAAATTAGTGCTATTGTTAGGTAAACACTGATAAACATCTATCGAAATAGTTACGCGAAGTAGATCTCTGCGCGTAGCACTGTTACACAGTTACTTTATTATTCAGCACTCATTTCACATTCGAAATACAAACGTAGCACTTCAGTTTCGGCGGATGATGTCAAGTCAGCTATGCAACATAGAGATCAATGTCCTTCATTACATGTATTCTTGCACATTTTTTTGGAATTAAAAATGACATATACATGCATATAATGCTATTATTCTGCCTAACCATGTGACCTCATGATGTCAAACCAATGGTGCAGCATACAAACTGAAGTCCTGTAATAGACCGGCATCCATTCAGGGTGTCCCCTGCCTCATGTCCTGTGAAGGACCGGCATCCCGTCCAGGGTGTCCCCCTGCCTCCTGTCCTGTGAAGGACCGGCATCCCGTCCAGGGTGTCCCCCTGCCTCCTGTCCTGTGAAGGACCGGCATCCCGTCCAGGGTGTCCTCCTGCCTCCTGTCCTGTGAAGGAGCGGCATCCCGTCGAGGGCGTCCCTCTGCCTCGTGTCCTGTGAAGGACTGGCATCCCATCCAGGGTGTCCCCAGCTTCGTGTCCTGTGAAGGACTGACATCCCGTCCAGGGTGTCCCCCTGCCTCATGTCCTGTGAAGGACTGGCATCCCGTCCAGGGTGTCCCCTGCCTCATGTCCTGTGAAGGACTGGCATCCCGTCCAGGGTGGGCCCTTGTGCCCCGTAATATTGACTCCAGCCCTCCCGCAACCCTTATCTGGATATGCAACTGGATGCTCAGTTTTTGTTCATAACATGGAGTCAATATTACTGACCAGGCCAGTTAAATTGGGAGAAGTTTGACCAGTTTGCTTTTAAATTGATAGATTCACTGTTAAATCGAGGAGGGAAGAGATAAGTTTAATGCTCAATCAAGGAGTAACATGATAAATTCACTGTTAAATCAAGGAGGAAGATGGTAGGTTCGCTGTTAAATTGACAACAGATATGATAGGTTTGCTATTAAATTGACAACGGATATGATAGGTTTGCTGTTAAATTGAGGACAGACATGATAGGTTCATTGTTAAATCAAGGCACATCATACGTTTCCTATTAATTCAAGGGAGAACATGGTAGTTTCACTGTTAAAGCGAGGAGGGACTTGATAGGTTCGCTGACAAATTGAGGAGGGACATTATTGGTTTGCTGTTAACTGGATTAATTAACCTAAGAAGTGACTTGATGAGTTCACATGATCAGGGCTGATAAATCAGAGAGGAACTCCAGAAGAAACATACCCAGTTTGGGTTCATTTCCGTTAAACTTTTCCCCCACCCCCAGAAACGCAAAAGGAAGCAAACACTGCTGAACCAGGGAGAAATTGACGCCCAGGAGTATCATGACAAGGTAGGTCACCCCCATTTCTAACCCCCCCCCCTGCCCCATTTCCTGCGTGACAGACAGGTCTGTTTCTGGTCTACAGTTTCTATCACTTGGTGCATTTTGAGGCTGTCGTTTTTGCACCTTACGTCAGTTTGGTCTGTCATTCGTGGTCTCGTATTTCCATTTATAGAGTGATGCCATGTAGTTTTACACAGGCATCAGTGTCGAACAGGAGTGATGCATTTACTGAGTATGTGTCAGTACTCTTTGCCCATTTAAATGCACTTATACACAATGAAGGGAAGTGCCTAAATAATGAATGTGATTAGAGGTACATTATTTCTTAATAGGGCGTTTATTGCAGTAGCTTTTGTAGTGCGTCTTCAGGAACTCTGAAGGATGTCTAGTAGAATAAATTTATTTAGCAGTCGCTTTTATCCAAAGTGACGTACGGTTGAGAATGATTGGCTCAGCCAGTTCTTGGAGCAATTGGGGATTAAGGGTCTTACTTGAGGGCATAATGAGGAAATCACCGTGCTGACCCTGGGATTTGACCTGGCAACCTTCCGATCACGGGTACAGCATCCTGACAATCACACCAGAAGTGATCGACCTGCTGTAAGAAACAGATGAAGGCAAGAAGGTTTCAGCTGAGTTTCATATTCCAAAACTGGGTGTGGTTTCCATGTAGTCAGTCTCCTACTGGTTTAACCCAGATCACATTGGTTATGGTTTTGGCTTCCGTTGGCTCTTAACAGTGACAGATCGCTGTAACACCAACGTTTCAGAGCTTTGAGCTGTACATTGCTTTGTCTGGAAGCATAAGCAGAGCAGATGTTGTAGGAAGGTGAAGGAGATGAGTCTCAAATTCACTGTAACGTTTCATTCTACTGACTTAGGTTAGATCTGTTATTCTGGAGGGGATCCAGCCCTTTCTGGACATGGGACGCACCTGCGGGTATCTGACAGAGGCTGCGACCAAGGGACCACCTCCATGCGCTCATGAGGACCGGCTGTCGGGCCTGTGTGACATGGCAAAAGAGCTCCCTCTAGTGGATGATGATGAGGATGCACCCGCGCAAGTTATTGGGGACGACCTTGGCTCCCTGGATCACCTGGACCTGTTCACGCGGATGACGGAAAACCCCAGTGGTCGCGCCAGGGAAGTGCGGCTTATGGGGGAGCTGTACCTGCTTCCTCCGCGGTGCCGATTCCTGCTGTCGGATATCTCCAAGATGCAGCCCCTGCTGAAGTGTAAGGGGAGCATCCTCCCGTTTCCGTGGGCGACCACCTTCCGAGCTTCACATTTTGTTGATTTGCGCCTTTTTCCTCTGCCCCCTCCCCCCTCCCACCTAATAATCTGTAATAAGTTGTTTCTTGGAGGTGGGAAAAACATCAGCATCGTTCAGATATGAATGTCTAGGGCTCATAAAAACTAATATTCTGCATCTGAACATCATTTGCAGAAAGAGCAGCATAAATCAGTGGCTGTTTCCGGAGAGGTGGAAACTCTCCTGGCGTAAGAAGAAATTTAATAATCTGAGCTGAATAGCTACAGAATGTTAAATATTGTCTCATAGAAAATGACATTCATATATCGGTTTTTATAGGAGGTTAGCTTCCATTCGGCGAACTCTAAAATGACGCGAGTTAAATTCACGTAAGTGCAAATAGAGTGCATTTATCATTAGTGTGCTAAACTGGTACATGGCTTTAAGTGTGAATGGGTTAAATATACAGTAGACTGAAAGGTAACCTTCATTTTTACAGCTTGTTAAAAAAAAATTCAGTAGGTTTGGAAGGACAGGTTGAAATGCATTAAAATTAAATTCACAAGTAAAAAGGCTGCACTGTATACGAGCTGCGAATATGGTGAAAACTTGCCATAAATACCTCATATTAAGCGAGCTATGTTGAATGTTGCTTTTTTTTGCATATCTGCATAGGGCTGAATGCGGGGGCCCCAGGCTGGGCTGAGGAAGGGCTTACATCGTCACATTCTGATGTCATCCTCTGCCGGTTCTTTTCCAGGTGGGAGGAAGTTTGACGCCATTGTCTTAGATCCGCCATGGGAAAACAAGTCTGTTAAGCGCAGCAGAAGGTTGGTAACAGTTCCTGTTAATCTGTGGGTGTTTCAGGCTGGGACAGGCAGGGCTGGGTGTAATCAGAGCAGACAGGAAATAATCAGAAACCACAGAGTGGAGGTAAAATGAACGTGGGCTAAGCAAATTCAAATCTAGCAACATCCTTGCCAAAGCTCATGGATACATATATTTAATAACTCAAATGCTAATATTTTTTCTAATTTTTATCTTATATTTTCCTTAGTAGTGTAATTTATGCATTATTTTGGTGGTTTCTCTCTTCAGAGAGTACATATCTTAAAAGTAAACAAAAAAGTGTTACTAAATACTTCTTCAGCTGCCTCCAGAAGGTGATATAATGCATCAGTCACTGCAATCGGACCAGACAGGAAGTTTATTCAGTTCAGGAAGCCTATATAGAGACACTAACTGTGCCAGCAGGCCACTCAAAAACTTTAACGTAGCCATTTACCTCGCTGCTAAACCTCTTAAACTCATCATGGAGTAACTGACCATACCACTAAAACCGCTGGGAAATTCAACGAAGAGTCACTGACCACTCCAATAGATGACTCAGAAACTCAACATAGAGTCACTGTCCAAGTTCTAAGACCTGTCAGAAGCTCCTCGTAACACTCCACAAACATTTCCTGTGCCCTTCCGGAACGTCTGAGGTCCCTCCATTCCGTTGCCAGACTAAGAGATTAATAAGCTCAGTCACAAGATCCTAAGGTAACTTTATGTTGCATTTCAACGCGCGAGTGTGACCGATTGTCCCTCAGCTGAGAAATTTAGCAGAGCTGAGAAACCAGCACACGCCGGGTCATCGTGGATCCAGCCTCCACACCCATCTCCGGTTAACCCATGCAGGTACGGCTCCCTGCCCTCTTCCCAGCTACGGCGGATCCCCGTTTCCCAACTGAGTGCGCCTGGCTGCCTAGTGGCCACCTGGGTGACCAACCGACAACGGCATCGGCGCTACGTGCGCGAGGAGCTGTATCCGCTGTGGGGCGTGGAGCCGGAGGCCGAGTGGCTCTGGGTGAAGGTAGGCGGCACATTCGCTGGTCACACTCAGAGACGCTCACTTCAGTCTGTGGTCCATGACTCCCTGGGGCTTCGTTGAGCGGTCGTAGAGGAAAATGTCGATATTAGTACAGTGACTCTCCCTTCCCCCTTAGGAGCCAAACATATTCAAAGGGGACCCCCCCGTCACCTGGCTTAGTAGTTATGTCAGTCAGGCCTGAACTGCTTCTTGTTCAGGTACGGACAGTGATAGCTCTGGGTGTCCTTCTTCCGCTGTAGGTAACCCGGTCGGGAGAGTACGTGTTTCCGCTCGATTCACCCCACAAGAAACCGTACGAGGTGCTGGTTTTGGGGCGACGCGTAGGGGAAGCGGGTGACACCCTCAGGTACGACCCGCTGGTCCAGTGAGGTGCATGTTCTGTGTGAGAATCCCTTCGGTAAGGTCCGGTGTGCTGATCCATCTTCTCTGCTCCTAAACGTCCACCAACAGCTCCTCCCAGGGGTCGGAACCTGTCCTTCCAAACCTCAAGCTGCTGGTCAGTGTGCCCTCCACCCTACACTCTCACAAGCCTTCCCTTGCAGGTAAGCCCTGTAATCTGCCTTTACTAATCCAATAAGAAAATAATCCCAGGCCGCAGGCAACTGAGAAGTGAATGGTTGTCTTGCTATTCTCTGTTCCTCCAGTAGAGGGCAGTGTGGCCACGTAAATGCGGGCGGGTCACTTCCTGTCTGCGCGAAAGCAGAGGGAGCTGTATCATTATAAACCTGAGGAATGTGAGCTGTTCGTTCGCCCATAAAGCTCACGGTATGAGGCCTTACCCCACTGTCTCGATAAAACGTAAGATTAATGCGCCTCTAATTTGTAATTTATTGTAACATTTCTAGTTTTTTTTATATGTTATGTTGCAACCCTTCCCCAGAAATAAATGACCTATGTGTAAAGTGAAAAGCATATTCAGTTTAAAGGTTGACATCTTATCCTGGCATGGAAATTGGCCAACATGGGCGGAGTTAAACCCCTGAATCTCTGCTTACCCCTTCCCTGGGGGGTGGGGGGGGAGGGTCCCTCATGCAAAATAAATGAGGGAGGGCCACCATCCCTCTTCACCAATACGTCACCTCGGTTTCCATCATCCAGATGTCTCACTGATGGCTCGTAAATGTCGGGAGGTGTTTAGCGTGATGACCTGTAGTGGGTCCAGAGCCTGTTGTTTCCTAAAGGAGTTCTGATGGTGCTGTGAGTGGGCGATTTCTGATTGGGGTCAAAGATCAGCGTCACACATTTAGAATCCCCACCCACCCTGGAAAACAGACGGCAGGGAGCAGTTAGTGGTAGGGGCAAGTCGGCCCACTCACTGAGCCACTGGTTCTGATCCGAGTACTGGGAATGCCCCCTAGTGGCGACCTCTAGTTATGACCGAGCACCTCCAGTCAGGTCTGAGACTCAGGGTATCTACTGCAAGGCTCTCTCTCAGGCAGTCTGTCAGCTGAGATCTGCTCTGGTCCTTCTGTGGGAATTAAGGGCTCCTCCTCATTTTGACTTTTACTTTGTCTTCTAATTTCTTTTATATGGCTTGCCTGACAGAGGGACATAGTCCAAAACGGGCCCCGTTTCAAGCACTGTAATCCCTTGAATACTTGGGCCAAAATGACACACACACATCTGTGAGGCCTCATTGCCGAATGCCGGCCCTTTAAATCTTAAGCTTCGAGGTTGTTTTGTCATCAACAGCTGTGCACACGTACGTAGTTCCTTCGTAGCGTTTTCTCGTCTCACGATGTACGTGTGCACAGCTGTTGATGACAAAACAACCTCGAACCTTAAGATTTAAAGGGCCGGCATTCGGCAATGCGGCCTCACAGAAGATGTGTACATATGACAAGCTACAATTAGCAAGGACAGAAACAACACTAAATAGTGCAGCAAAATAACAGTATAGAACCATTGGGTATTGAGTGTCACGTTTAAGGAGCTTGGCACACTTAGCATTGGGACGCCTAAGCCCTTCATGGCTTTCGGACAGCAGGGGAGAGTGTACCAGGCCGGTTTGTATAAAGGCCTTTTTTATTCTAACTCAGCGATTCAGGTTAAACTGAGAGGTCCCCTGAGGTTTAATCCTGGGGATGCTTGTATCTGTCTGGGCGGTCGATTTAACACGAGCGAGGAGTGAATATCCGGCGCTTTTGGAGTCTGTCACGCTGCCCGGGCTTCAAACGGCGTCCGCCCTGTGTGCCGGTCGCCCGCAGTCAGGATAAACATCCCAGCCCTCCCCCCTCCCTGGGGGACGGCGTCTCCATGCGCGTCGACACCACTGGGATCGTGCAGCCAGAACGTTCTTGTTCTTACTCCCCATTCCATCTCCCAGTTGACACCCATCCATCCCTGCTCCCTGATTATTTAATTTCATGTATTTAATTGTAATTTCCTTTTTTTAAGATCTTTTTTTTTTTAAGAGATGACGTGGGCATGAAGAGATGCCGTGGTGGGGGTGGCGGCGGGGGGGGGGGGGGGGGGGGGGCGGCGCCGAGCCGTGCAGAGGTATTCTGGAAAGTGACACGAAGCAGCATCGGATGCGTGACTGACGTCTATGCTGGTGCTGTGGGGGGGTGGAGCCATCTGTGTGGGCCGTGAGCCCCCCGACGACTGCCTCACTCCCAGCTAAAAGACGGAGCCTGCCAGGGCCTCCGGCGTGCCGGGGGGGGGGTGTCACATGGCTGTTTGCGGGCTTTGTCCGCTGAGTGGACACCTCCTTCAGCTGCCTTTTCTTTGCCACTTTCATCCATCCCCCCGTTTCGCATCCCCATTCTTTCATTTATCCCTGCCTCCGACGCTTACTGACAGACTCGCTCCCTCTCTTCCTCCTCCTGATCACTCCATTCCCCCCCAGGTGTGCTGGGAGAGTTCCTCCGCCCCGACGCCGAGTGTCTGGAGCTGTTTGCCCGCGGCCTCCAGTCGGGCTGGACCAGCTGGGGCAACGAGGTCCTGAAGTTCCAGCACCACTCCTACTTTGAGAGGGAGCCGCTGATGTCAGAGCCGCCCTCTGCCGCCAGCTGACACAAGGGGGCGCCATTCTGCACAGAACCTGAGCCGGCTTCTCCTCCGTAATCACCCTCAGTCTGCTGACAAGTGTACATTGACCCTGTCACTAGGGATACTAATCCGGGCAGGTGGAGGGGGGTGTTTATAGCATCCCAAGGGACCATTCTGTACCAGGCTTTTGCCCCCAATATGTTTAATTGATTTTAATCTCCTTTACACACTCGGCTCTCCCCTGTGTGTGTGTGTTTGCATACACATCGCACAGCCAATCGTATAATGAAGCAGTCTGTCCTTTGGACAGCTTTATTCACCATTAAAAGAGCAGTTTTATTACTTGCAAATGTTTGCTGTGTGATGATAAATTGCAGACCTTTCTGTTTACAGTGGCGACATACCTTTTTTTTTAATAACGGATTTCTCCATGATGGCTGTTTGGGGGAAAGGATGATGGATAGGTGTAATATTTTGAAAAAATCAAGGACGTAGTTAGACATGTGAGATAAAATATTAGTGGTGACATCCAGGTGCTACAAGATAGGTGATTATATTTACTCATAAATATGTTAGTGATTAGCCAGGTGCCACGGGCCTGAGTGAAGGCATCAGTAGAATATTCCGGTAAATGTTTATGATTGCTGCCGACTGTAGTGGCTTCCCGTGCTGCTTTATAGTTGTATATTTCCGCTGCCTGCAATCTGTCAGTTCAGACGCACGGAACGCGGCATGCAGACTGCTTACCTCAGCGTGGGAGGCGGCCGCGTGTCTGACAGCGAATCATGAGCAGGAGGAGCCACCGAGGTCTCACCCCATGGACCCGGCTTGGGGGGGTGGGGTGGGCTGGCACAGGCTGTGGGTTGCAAGCAGCCCCCCCCCCACCACGAGCAAGTGTGTGTCACTGCGGATCCAGGCAGGACTGTAACTCTTCCCTACCACCTAACACCACTGGCTTATAATTCGATCAGATTTAAAGCCCCCCCCCCCCCAAAATGAGCTCCTTTCATTCTAATGAGGATTTCAATACTGTTAGAAAGGCTGTCCAGAACTTCCTGGGTATTAATTGCCCTCTCCTTGGTGCAATCTTCTGCCACTTGTGCCAGGGCGGGGTAATAGGGTGATCGGCAGTGTGTACTCCCCCTCCCCCGCCCCCCCGCCTGCCGCTTGCCTCCGACGTGAGAGAAACTCCTCTGGCTTTTATCCCATTCTGATCCGCTCCTAAGGTGCCCCCATGTCCGCAAAAGCCAATCGCATCTGCCAGTCTCATTACGGCCCTTCAGCCCATTGATTAAAAGCCCCCTTTGGGTGGAATGCGATCGATTTCTGCCCTTGTTATTGGTGAATAGTTTAGCGGGGGTGGGTGTTAGATCCACTGAGATATAAACACAATGCATTTTAAAAGCCGGAGTGTTTTGAATGGAGAGCCACTACACACATACTCCCTGTATGACGTGAGCGTCTCGCCAAGGTGCCGAATTTAAGGTGACTCATGCTTGATCTGACAAACAACCTTTGTAACCAAATGAACGCAATCATGATTTGTTACGGTTCGTTTAGCTCTGGGGTTTATGTTGCGATAGCTAAAGGGGATTTAAGGATGACTAACAGAATGATCAATATTATTATTATTATTCTATCTTGATTTTTTTTTGTCTTACTTAGCAGATGCTCTTATTCAAAGATATCAAAATATATATATTTTATTTTACTTTATTTTATTTTAAAGGAAATAGAAGGGTCAGACTAGGCTTTTCTCAGGGGCCTAATAGTGAAATCACTGCCAAGTCAGGATTTGCAGTCACACAGTCACACAGCAGCCTAACCCTAACCCTAACCCTAACCCTAACCCTACTGAGCCAGGTTTTCTCGGCCATTTCCCAGCTGTATGATAAAGCTAAATGCTCCGTATGCAAACCGACCTCTGGTTGAGCATCACAATCATATATACAGTAGGTTTCCAGTCAAGTACCTTTCACCTATATCTAGTCGTGCGGTCCCACTGTGAGAATGGCAGGACGGGACCAGGATCGTTTGTGGAGCCCATGCAGACCATCGTGAGAAGCTTTTAGGGTTTTTTGGATCATGGACCTACAAGCATCCCAGTTGACCTTTACAGTCACGACTTGCACAAGTAACATCTGTCTGTGCAGAAGCAGGTTGGCATTATGCTGTTTGGGGTGTAAAACAGATGGAGTCTGATAGGGGTGCTTTGACCTGGCCGCTGTAGGACGGATACGGAACAAGCGGGGTTCGTGAACCGCGCCAGGGTGTCAGATGCCCCCCCACCTTATTTGCTTTGTCTGGTGGGTATGCAGGTCGCCTGGACTTCTTTCCTTCTCAGCAGTGGGGGGGAAGAAGGTGCTGCTCCAAAAGCTCGAGGTGGAAGAATGTGAGAGAGAGAAGAGAGAAGCCAGAGGCAGAATCCGGGGCTCCTGCTTTCAACCACGTGGGGCTTTGATGATAGTATTTACTGCAGGGCTGCTCATTTCTGCTCCCGGAGATCTAGCATGCTGCTCATTTCTGCTCCCGGTGATCTAGCATGCTGCTCATTTCTGCTCCCGGTGATCTAGCATGCTGCTCATTTCTGCTCCCGGTGATCTAGCATGCTGCTCATTTCTGCTCCCGGAGATCTAGCATGCTACAGAGCTTAGGTGCAGCCATAATTTAACACAACCAATGCAGATAATCAGGTGGGTGTTCCATGAAGCAGGATCTCTCTGGTGGGTTAATTATAAGCTATAAGTCATGATCGTGCAATAAGAATTCAGGTAAGGAGAAGTTCTACTGGACAATTTTGACTTCTAGGTCACATTAACCCAGCTAACTGAGAAATCCTGCTTCCTGGAACAGCCCCAGGTGTTACCATAGCTGGCTCGAATACTGAGATGCTACTGAAGGGCATGATTATCTGTATCAGGTATGTTAGATTCAAGGTTGCTCCTAAGCCATGCAGGATGGTAGATCTCTAAGGCTACCACTGAGTGCCCCTGATTTACATTTGGTTTATTTTAGCCGACAGTTTTATCCAGTGCAACATGAGCAAACAGGGTCAGCCAATCCCTGAAGCAGTTGGGAGTTAAGGCCCTAACAAGGAAACCACTCTGCTGACACTGGGATTCAAACTGGTGACCTTCTGAGTACAAGCCCTAAGCCATAACCCACTGTGCCGCTTATGACATCAGCATGCTTCGAGGTCCCTATAAACCATATTCTCTCTGAGTTATGCTATTCTGTATGGTCATTAGTGAAATACCCCTACCCTGCATATCCACATTCTGTAGCCATTTTTATTTAATTAATGCTTATTTTTTAATGCCAGATACCATCAAGTCAGCTGGAGACCATATGAACAGCGTGCCTCCAGAACATTCTATCATCTTTCCCGGGGGCATATCTGGTGCTATAATGGTTGATGAGTACATTCACTTCGCCTTCAGTGTTTCTAAGCACATGTCCTGCTCCAGTGCACTCGATCTGCTCATAATCTGCCCAGAATTAGATGGCTGATGAATGGTTTATATGCTTGGCACTTTGAGTCCTCCTCATTTGCCTTGAGAAAGCCGCCCCTTGGACCTTTAAATCCGAACTAGGCTACTTCGGATTAGCCGTTGGCAGACATTAGGAGGGGAGCACTTCCTCCGTGTTCGTGATACCCGACTGGCAAATCAGTCTGTTATTAGCATGGGCTAAAAGGAAAGAATGCATTTCTTCCTCTGCGAAAGAAATCTGATCTGTAATGTTTGGGCCATTATATTAGAAACAATACGTCTGTCGATAACAGCTGTTCACAGTTTGCTGTGTATTCACTTGTTACCGTTATACGTCTTTTATATTTCACAGTGTTTCACTCATGAAAGGGAACGATGTATCTCTAAAGCAGGCTTGCTTAGCTGGCTTGCTGGTTTTTCCGCTGCTGGTTTATTTAGGTTCTTTTTCTAATGAATCAGGCTATCTAACATTTGAATGCTTGGAAGTCAGAGTATTGATGTGACATAGTCCCCGCTGTTCTTTTAATAAAGCTCTGCTGCCCTCTGATTGGGCCGGCCTCCCTTCGATTGGGCCCGTCGGCCCTTTTCGTCTGGGGGCCGCCCTTTCGTGTAATTGTTTTCGTTAGCGGGGGCTCCGCAGCGAGCTTTCTTTTTAAACTGCGCCGGACCCACCTGAGGCGGAAAACAAACAGAGGCCGAGAAAGGATCACGATCGCCGAATGTCCCCCCCGGCCCCCCCCCCCCCCCAGCCCGGTTCGACCTGGACCCTGTCGCTCTCATTCCGCTCTAATGCTTCGAAAATCGAACCTGACTGTGAACGGTCCCGTAACTCAATAAGCGGCCGGCAGCTGTGTGCACGTCGACGGGCTTCTGCAACCGTTCCCACGGCGACTGTCTGTCTTCCAGTTGCTAAGCGCCATCTGCAACGGCCAATGGGGACCTCAAATTCGAAATAGCTTCACGAGGCTAACAGTAAACCCTGGGGAGCCACAGTAATGGCAACAGTGGCTTTGTTCTGGGGCCCCATTGAGAAAGTTACTTTGGGGTCCGCCCTCCTGCTGTAGTGACTGTTTGTGGCCAACAGGGGGGGCTGTACGCATGCGTGGTACCATACTGTACCATACTGTGTTTGGCTTCGACACAACGCCACTGAAAACCAAGGTACACAGTGGAGGCAGAAAAAGGTTTATAATGAAATCCTATAGAAAATTTGGCTCAACTGGACATCTAATCTTATTATCTGACTGAACAGACCACAGCTAAAAGTAAGTTCTAGGCTTAAGCTTGTCACTAAAAGGTTGGTACAGAGCCTGAGCCTAACAAGTCAATAAATTGCTGAATTTACATTGAATATTATGGATCCTCTAATCTCTATATTACTATAATTTAAACCGAAGGCCAATGCTGACATGAATTATTTAGTCTCCTCATCAACCTCCCTGTACAGCTCTGTTAATAGATCTGTGTTATCTGCCTCTATGAAGTTGTCAAGTTCAATTCAAGAATGATTCATGTGAATAACGAGCAGTAACCTCTGAACAGTTTATCTGATTCACTACCTCCGGAGTTTTTGCCTTCCTTGTCTGCGAGACACGCCGAGATGATTCAGCACACCAAAAACCAAGCCACCTTGATGTTTTTTTTTTCTCCCGGATGTTCTTTCATTTGAGTCCAATAAGACATTTTCTACATGAAAACTGAGCTCAGGGGATCGACTCGAGGAATTATACAGGCACACATCTGAAACGTGCTGGGGGCTGTTGACCCAAATGGTGAAGATTTCTGTCAATGGAATGGTGCATTCAACCATCCATCAATTTTTCATAATCAGTTGTCTAATACGGGGTTGCGGTGAGCCT